ATTGATTTTTCCTTACCAACGGGTAGAATTTCTTCATTCAAGACTTAGATAATTTTCTAAGTCTTTTCTCACTTGTCCGCTTTTTGAGAATTCCGGTCTTCCTTGAGGCATCCGGTTCTTGGCTGACAAATCCGGAAGAATCATTCTCAGTCTTCCGGGTGAGAAAGAGATCCGCGTTAGTCTTCCGACTTGGGTGACTTAGCTTTCAGCGGGTTGTAGCGAGACATCCGGTTATCATGTAGTCTTCTGGATTGGAGGATTTTCATCTGCTCTAAGAGATCCTTACTTGTCTCTGACATTTCCGATCAAGATATCCAATTTCCATATCACTGAATTTGATTAAGTCTTCAAGCATCAAACCACTTAAAGAAATATCACAACTTAATTGGAAATCTCAAGAACTCGGTTTTAACAATATTTCTAAAAAGAAAAATTACATTGAATATTAGGGGGAGACCTAAAGTCCCTATTACATTCTAAATACATCATCATCAAAATCTACATTTTTCCCAACATTTCCACATTTCAGTAGGGATTTGGAGAGGTTGTAACAGGCCAGGGTAAGCTGAGTTGTCATACTTACAGGCTTGACAAATAAGGCACCTCCTTACAAACTGTGAGACATCCTTGTTCATCCCTTTCCAGTAAAACACAGCCTTCAGTCTCCTTAAGGTGGCTTCTCTTCCTGAGTGTCCTGCTACAGGGGAGGTGTGGCCCCACTTCAACAGCTTAGCCTTGAGGACTTCGTCGGGACCTACTACTAGCTTTCCCTTTCTCCTTAACTGATTTTCCACCCATGTATAGTGATGAACTGGTTGATTCTACTGTAGTAAGTGTATATAGGATTGTAGGGTGGGGTCACTCTGCCAACTATTCACAATCTTTTTTTTTCGTTCGGGAATGATGTTCCGATCCCATCTCTTTTTTTCTTCCTTTCTTTTTTTCTTTTCCCCTTCCTCCTTTTTTCTCCGCCATCCCTTTTCTCTGTCTCTTTCTTTTCTTCCTTTTTCTTCTTCTCTCTTATTTCTCTTCGAGCCGTTCCTTCTTCCTCTCTTCAATCTCCTTTTCTTTCCTTTCTTTCTCTCTTTTTTCTCCGAAAGATCTACTCCCTTTATTTTCTCTGTTGCTCCTTCTTCTCCTATAGATTTGGGGTTGGCAGCGACACTGTAATAGATGGCGGTCGTGAGAGTTGGGGTGATGGTGGATCTTCGGAGATCTATGCTTAATCTTCTTTTTCTCATCTCCCCCCTTATGTTTTCTCTTTCTGCCAGCAATGGCAATGGTGGTAGCTGAGGATGATGGTCCGATTGATGGTGGTGGTGGGGGTGGTGCAATGGTGATTGGGTCTGGCAGAGATGTTGGGGCGGCGACCAATGTTGTTAGATAGGGTTGACGATGATGGTGTAAGGGCAGAGGTGGCGGTAAATAGTGGGGGTTGGGGTGGCGGCCAACAGTGGGGGCTGTGGCGGCGGCGGCCAACAATGGTGGCTGGGTGGTAGTTCATGGACCTAGGGTTGGTGTAGTGGTTCTAGTGGCAAATCAAAGAAAATAAGAAGGGTATTTTAGACATTTTCATACTAAAGTCAACACTCCTTAAAAATGAAGAAAAGTCAAAATGGGAACATCATTTCCAGACGGAGGGAGTAATAATAATAATTGAGACCCTTCAAGTACCTAAGTCGTTATAAAAAACCTATTATTCAAACAATACACCTTAATTTATTTATTTTTCACAATAATAAAAAAATTTAATCTACTAATTTGATATATTTGTATATGTGAATTTTAAAAAATGGACACTTAGAATTATTTGATAAATAAATTTGTCTTGTCATACACATTTGTTTTTTTTTCAACTAGTAGATTCTGGTAATGAATTGCAAAAACAAAAAAGTCAACATGAAATATATGACTAAAGGTTAGGATTAACGAGCCCACATGGTTCTAAATAATAATAATTTAAAATTTATTTTCAATTATGGGTAACCTCACCAAGCTTGAATTTGCTGCCCTTGACATTTCCGGAAAGAACTATTTGACATGGGTTCTTGATGTTAAGATTTATTTGAATACAATGAACCTTGGAAATGATATTAAGGAAAATGGTGGGGCTAGCGAACAAGAAAAAGCAAAGGCAATGATTTTCATACGTCATCATCATCATGAAGACCTGATGTCCGAATATATTGGGGTCAAAGACCATTCGACTCTTTGGAGTGACTTGGAGGAGAGATACAACCATCTAAAAAGTTTTATACTTCCAAAGGCTCATTATGATTCGATGCAACTAAGGTTGCAAGATTTCAAAACAATAAACGAGTATAATTCTGTCATGTTTAGGATTGTATATCAATTATGATTGTGTGGAGACACCGTCACTGATGCTGATATGTTGGAGAAAACATTTACAACTTTTCATGCCTCTAACATGCTTTTGCAGCAGCAGTGCCAAGAAAAAGGATTTACTAAGTATTCTCAACTTATCTCTTGATAGAATAAAAGACCAACGCTAGAGGGGGGGAGAATAGCGTTTGATCGAGAAATCGCAAGAATAAAAAAATTTAAACGAGAAGTAAGGAGAAGAGTAAGAGGCACACCGAATTTACCCTGGTTCACCACAACTTGTGGCTAATCCAGCCTCCCGAGAGACTCTCTCGAGCTACACTACTATCTCGTTAAGCTTAACGGTACTTAACAAACCCTTACAACTTGAGAATTCGAGTCACACGAACCTCAACGAATCCTTCGAAGGAAACAGCCCTTCCTTCGAATCAAAAAGAGAGAAATACTTTCTCTCAACGTGTCTTAGAACACAAATGCACTCAAGAACGAGACTCTCTTTTAGAGTAGATATTGAGTAAACTAAGTATGCTCAAGAACAACTCAAACTTCACACGAATTGGATCTAGAAAGCTATGGAAAAAGATGTTGTTTGAATGCAATGAAAGTATATGAATTGTGAAGTGAATTGATGATAAATGCAGACCCAAACACCCCTTTTTATAGTGCCAAACTAGGCTCCAACGGACCAATACATTAAAGGGGTGATTGGCTTGATTTATGGGATTGAAAAAATTTGGGATCTGCAGGATATTGGCTTCCCAGCGATGTTTGGACTTACCCATCGCTGGTAAGCCAATTTTCCTTCAGTTTTGAAGCCAACGGTCACCTACCCATCGATGGGTACAAGCTTCACATCGCTGGGTGGGAGGTTGACTTCCAAACAAGGAAAGAATCAACCTTAAATGACTTCCAATGGTCATGCCTTCCTAGCGATGGTTATACCTTCCCATCGATGGGGTAAAGTCCCCATCGTTGGGTAAAGTCGTTCTCCCTGCACTACAAGAAAATTCCTCTTCTACAACGGGAAAATTTCATGGCAGAATATAATTTTCCGTGGCAGATTTCTATTTTGCGACGGATCTGCCACGAAATTGTTCCGTCGCAGAAAAGTTGTGGGAGATTCAAAATCTGCGACGGACTTTAAAATCCGTGGCAGATCTGCGACGGACCTGCAACGGGGTTTTCATTTTTTCCATCCAGCAAAATCTGCGACGGATATAAAAAACCGTCGCAGATCTGTGACGACATTAGCAACGGAAGTCTCCGTCGCAGATCAGCGACAAATATAGCGACGGTCATGTCCGTCGCAGATGACCTGTTGCCAGAACCAGAATTTTGCTGTTTTCAGCATTACCTATTACAATGGGGTGTGTGGGGGGCAAAACAGATTCAATCTTCACACATATAATTCCAAATAAGATTTCAAACACCCAAATTGCTAATTCAAATCTAGATTAATGCAAACTTCAAATGCGAATGTAGAATAATTCATTATGTTCTAACAACAAATATTAAAATGTTAGTGTCAAGTGTTTAAAATGGAGGAAGCTAAGGTCGTAAATGTCTCAACAAATCCCGGGCTGCCCTGCCCCTCCTGTTCCATCATCATCACCTCGTCGAGGAAGGTTACCACCATATAGCTTCCTTAGCTCCTCTTGAATCGTTAGTGACAAGTTCGAGGTTAGACTATCAATTTGTTCCTGCAACCTTTGGTTTTGCTCTTTGAGTGTTGTTATCTTCGTTGTGCTTCTACTACTCGTGCTGGAACGGCGAGGTTTGGAGGACGGATTCATCTTCCTCATTTCCCGCTCGTAGTCACCAACTCCAGGAACGCGGTTCTTCGCGTTATGGCCCTCAACTAGCGAGTACCATATTTCTTCGTCGGTGACTTGCAGCCCATTCTGTGTAGCCTCCTCGCGCAGTTCGAAGAATTGAGCCTGAAATACATAATAGTTAATAACACACATCAACACAATAATCATTGCGTCAAGAACAGCAATAAAACAAGAAAAACAAGACCACAAGAACTTAACAACTAACATTACCATGGATCAATAACAACGTAAAATTTACTTAGTGTTGACAGCACCATCAACGCAA